AATTCTTTGGCATTATATAGGCTCAATAAGTGGAACTTAATTAACTTGAGTTAAAGATAACTAATTGGGCTTATTTTATTTAATTGTTTGGTTCCAAATCAAATTTCAAGTAAACCTACCATAAATTTCTAAAATTTCCAAATAACACATAACCCAAGTCAATTTCGTGATCAAATACCAATAAGGTCTTCAATTCGCATAATGAAACAGAAACATAGACAGATCTTTCTACAACAGACAGATATAAATGTGAATAACATATAACACATAAAATTAACGTAGAATTTCATCTTAATTACTTATTAGGCCTTCTTAATCAAAGATTATAAGCTAATCACAGGACGGGGTTGTTACAGTTTTTGTATTGGCTGCCCCTTTCTTAGTGTATGTTTTGCACAGCCTGAATGACAAGTGTGTGAACTGATCAAAGTTGAATGATAATTAGTGCCTTAACTGCTGCTGTCACAATTTATGTCTTCATTAGTGATAGACAGCTATGTGTGTGTGTTTTGGTACTTTTTTTTTTTTTTTTTTCTTTCCAGTTTTTAGTTTAGGGATGGACACAACAATAAAAGCAAGAATGTCAATTTTTGAGTCTTCACTGTATTGTTTTGACCAATTTGAATTTGGAGTGACAAATTGTGTGTGCAATTCACAATCATTTCCCAACTTCTGTGTCTTCATTGGTGATGGACTGCTATGTGTGTATGCTTTGGTGCTTGTTCTTTTCACTTTTCAATTCAAGGATGGACACACAGTGAAAGCAAGAATGTAACTTTAGTGCCTTTATTGTATTGTTTTGCCCAATTTGAATTTGGAGTGACAATTATGGTGACAAATTGTGTGTGTGAGTCACAATCCTTTCCCAACTTCTGTGTGTTTCCTCTGTCTATGTGTGAGTTACAAAACACAAAATAATAGATACAACATCAATAGGTCACCAAACACACAATTTTCATCTCAAAATCATATTTTTCCTCTCAAAATCATATTTTTCCATTAACAATAATTCACCTATTACATATGATTCATAAACAAAATACAGACTCCATTCATTCTTACATTACCATATAACTTGTAACTTTACATTACAAACCATATTCCTACAACCAACCATGACATAACCAAGCAAATCCATAATTTCCTCTCTCTTCCAGTCCTTCTCTTCAGTTGTGCTTCCATCTTATTCAACTTCTTCAACAAACCAGGAATGATCTGCATTGCCTGATCGCACATGGGTGGGTCTACCCAAGTAAACTGATAACAACCATTGTTAGGGGAACTAAGAAATCTCCTCCCAGGATTTGCATCAGTCCATGATGTGTGTATCAACCTTCTTCTTCCACAAACATTACAAAACATCTCATCCACACCGCTTGCGTTCCATCTCTCTTGATTTCTTGAGCTTCGATTGGTTCTCATTTCTTCTTTTCCACTGATTTCGTTGATGCTCTTTTTTTTTTTTTCCTTCTATTTTGCATTGGTCCCTGTTTTTGTGGGTTTAAGGGAATACAAAGAGAAGATTAGGTTTAGCCAGTATAGGGGGCCACGTCACCCATTCCGTCCACTTCCTTAATGAAAATAGATGGCAGGGGTGAAATTAATAGGAATTTACATAGTATGGGGGTAAAATTGAAAATACTAAAAGTCTGGGATGTAATTGAAAATCATGTCAAAGTATAGAGGTAAAAATGATTTTTTCTCTTTTGTTAAATAAGAATTTTTGACAAGGGGGTATTTGCAATTTTCTAAACTTCAGGGGACAATTTGTATTTTAAACAAACCTAAAGGTGTGTATTTATAATTTAGTTTTTTTTTTTCAAAAAAAAAAAATTCAAAATCAGGATAATGAAGGATAATTTTCTTGTGTCCAATACATACCATATGCAACCCTACCACAAAATTACGTTAGTTTATATGAACTTACATAAGTAATCTCACAAAAATGCGCAAGTTGAACACAAATTCGCATAATCACGCAAGTTTTTACAAACTTGCGCGAATTTTTGTTTAACTTGCACATTTTTATAAAATTACATATGTAAGTTCATGAAAACTTACGTAATTCCGGTGCACATTACACACGCCACACCCATGGCCGAACACTACTTCCACGGTCGAACATCCAAAACTCCATACCCAAAACTCTCATGGCCGAACACCACTTCCACCGAAACTCCATGTGCGAAGAAAACGCCCATACTCGAGCACCAAGATCCACCGCCAAACTCCTTCCATGTATTGACCACTCATCGAACTTCTATGCATGAAGAAAACACCCATACTCGAGCACCAAGACCTACCAAATGGAGACTGAGAGGGTAATTTTGATGAAAATTGGGCCGAGCTATGGGATGGACATTATGGCCCAAAGTACGAAGGGTTGGGTAAAAAGACTGTAAAATTACTCCGGCCCAAGAGAGGTAAAAGATTACTCCGGCCCAGTAGAAATGTAAAGTTATTTCGGTCCGGAAGCAACTTGGAGTTAGGCCGGTTTTAGAGTTAGTCCGGTCATAACGTATTGTGGTTAGAACAGTCAGAACCTTGCTACTCGGTAGCTCGATCTGAACACGCCATGGATTGAACATGAAAGGACTGAGATAAGGAGTAAAGGGAAGAACCGAACTAAGTATAGTCCGGCCTACTCTGCGGCTCAGCATAGCCAAGATTGCTTCGGTCATGATGGAGTTCGGCCATGGTAATAACCATCTCACTTGGTTTAAGCAGTGAGGGGGGTGTTGGAGGATAAGGATTATCCTTCAGGAGGTTAAATCCTAGGAGGACTCTGTGTGGAGGAATAGAAGTCCTACTAGGATTGTGCCACGCGAAACCTATAAAAGCTCACAAACATCACCTTGGAAGAGGTAACACACAACTTTGCTTTCTGAATACACAGAGCTTTTGTCTATTTGTCAAGTTTACTGACTTAGACATCGGAGAGGTTTCTGGCACACACCCGCCGGCTAGCTCACGTTTGTGTTTTCAGGTAATAAAGCGACGACATACGGAGGAGAGTAGACTTGGTCAACAGGATTATACGAGAAGATTTATTTCTTTCCCGTACAGAGACCCAACATGCTTTGAGACCGCCAGAGAACCCCAAAGAATGTCCATGAACGCGCATCCAAACTAAAGAACAAAACAACATCATAAACAAATCTAGAGATTAGATTGGAAGAGGATATGGTGCAAAACTATGGAGGGTTCAAGTTTATAAAGAAGAAAAAAAATGCGCACACACAACAAGTAGCTAGGCCAGTTGACTGCCATGGTTGACGGCGACTGGCCGACCAGTATGAGGCCTGGAGTACAGGTTTTTAGAGAGAGAAAGTTGTGAAAGAGAGAGAGAGAGTTTGAGGCTTGGGTAGCTCTTTGGGCATGAATTTGAAGAAACTTTGAGGCTTAAATGTTTGAGAACTCATATGAAACTTTAGAAAAATGATATTTTATTGAATTTTCATACAAAATCTAATACCTGAATTTTCATTACAACATTATCTACACTTTTTTAGACTATGGGGTTGTGAAAATACCATCCTGAAGAGTAGATATCACCCTTGATTGGGTGTCATAGGTTTTTTTTACAGTTAATCTTTTTTAATTGCACTTCTTCACAAGGCACTGCGAAAATGTCAAGGAACAATTATTGATCATTCCAAAAATTGAATCAACATAGTAAAAATGTGCATAAGGTTACAATGGACAAAACTCGATAGTGCTTGAATAAAATAGTTTTGGATAAATTACACTGACATCTCTTGAGGTTTATGTTTAATATAGATTACTCCTCACGTTTGAAAAATTACACTTATTCCCTGTCAGATTAAAATGACATATTTGCACCTTAACCTTTATACATATAAAATAATAAAATAATACTGATATTTTGTTCATGTCATTTTAAGGAAAATAACAATCATTTTCTTTAGTTTAACTCACAAAAAAATTGAGTTTTTTTTTTTTATTTTTCATGTTTTTTAATTTTTATTGAATTTTTTTAATATTTTAAACAATTTTTTTTTATTTTGTAGATACACTTAATCTAGATATACTTAAAAAGTATAATATTTTGTGATTTTTTTTTTAAATTCACCAAATACAAAAAATATAAAACTACAAAAAATTAGTAATACTGCAATAAATGTGAATGACGGTGTTTGGTAATAGTATAATGAATGTGGGTAAATAGATGTGAAAGAAAAGTGATGGTGGAAATAAAAATGAAAAATTCTATTCATATATAAAAATTTATACAAAAAATATCATAAAAATATTGTGATAGTGATATTGTAAATATAAATCATGTTTATGATGTGTTTTGTTTTAAAGTAAAATGTCACTATTAAACTATATTATTGTGTTTGAAAATTTTATATAAAATTTATATTTATATATCACTACTCAATAAGAATATATTCAGTTAAAATTTAATGATAAAAAGTTATAGAATATAGTCATAATGATAGGAAGAAAAAATAATGGAAAAAATGACAAAATGGTTATTTAGAAAATTTTAGGGCATGACATTAGCAATCCATAGGGTAATTTATAATGAGATTATAAACTTTTGGGAGAAAAATATAATTTTTCAAACGTGAGGGAGAAATCTGTATTAAAAAAAAACTTTAGAGGGTGTCAGTCTATAGTGTATCTATATATTGAGCTTATTATTAAGTTGTTTTCATTTTTTTGTAAAAAAATTATTTTTTGACCATTTTATATAACACATCTTTATTGCAATACTCAATATTATTACACGATGCTATATTTGAGTCAACTTGAGGTTCTACATAAACAATTGTCACAACAGTATAATAAATTTATTAAATTGAACTAATCACTAAATTAACACCTAACACATGTAAGGAATTTATATCGATAAATTTGAACAATTTTATACTTGTTTGATAATTAGTTAAATCATTGATTCATATATATCTGAAACATTTTAGAATTTATTGGATCATTGTGACATCCACAGTAAAATCAAGATCCAAGAATTTCATATAACTTTGGTCCTTGTTTATTCTATTGAGATTTACTTAAAAAGATAAGATGCATGCAGAAATACGCATATTAAAATAATGATAATGCCTTCAGATTACAATCTAATTTTGAAAAGGCGAATAAAACAACAGAGAGGGAAAACGAAAACACCAAAACAACAACCACCAACAACATCAATAACATCACTTTTTAGTTTTAGTAGGATAAGAAGCCATTTTGTTGATACCACATATCCCCTCAGCTTTTCCTGTGTTTCTCTTCATCCTTATGTATCCTTTCTCTCCCCATTTTGGTCCCCATGAATTCTTCACTATTATGTAATCCAATCCCTTGGCCGATCCATATCCAACGGCTGTCACTCCATGGTCCAGCTCGGTTCCACAGTGCCCGTCAAACACACCCTGCAAAATCAAAATTCCATGCCTCTCCCATAAATGAAGCACCAAATTAATGTGGAATGCTCGACTATTTATGCATCTATGCATTAGCATATGCACAAGATAAAGGATGTATTGTGTCATCCGTGCACAGTAACTCACAACAGCAAAAACATTTACCAATTGCAAAAGCTTGCGACAACGATGCTTTGGAAAAGTTTTTGCCAACCAGATTCCACATGTCGGCAAAAGCAAAGCCTTTGGTTAAGTAATGTTTTGTTGCAAAGACCACCACTAAGCCACTAAATAGTTAATGGGGTCGGAAAAAATGGTTCCAAATAGGGCGATTCTGATGCATTTGCCAACACAATGTTTGTATTAGCAAAATTATCAAAATACTCAGATTTTTTACAGCAGAATAAAAACTTTGTTGCCAAAAATTTTTCCAATCAAATTCACCAACAAATTCGATTTTTCATTGCCAAGAACTTGTTTTTGTCTGTAGAAATTTCCTTCAGTTGGAAAATCTTGTCGCCAAAATTACAAATTGTCGTAGTGACTATATACATGAATGTGAGAGAGTTTGAGAAGGCTTACCCCACTGTAAAATTGGAAATCTCTGCCAGAAGCCTCAATGGCGACACTGAGAGGCTGATTTGCAAGTGCCTTCAAGAGGCTCCCTTCATTGTTCTCCGGCACATCATGGTACCCACTAATGGTCACCACCTCTGATTGTCCCTAATATATTGGATTTAATGGGGAAAAAAAATCATTAACAGTAAAATACAGAGTAGAGGACATAATAGGTTTTTTGCTTTTAACATAATACGGGATTATGGATGATAAAATGCACCATGTAATTAATCCTATACCAAAAAAGAAAAATAAGCCTATCCAAAACTAAGAGCACTTCATAAATCTTGTGATTGTGACCATTGTCATTATAACAAGATTTAATTTTAAATTTGAATTTAATTTTATTTTTAAAGCGTGGTGTGTGGTTGGGTTGGGCTTGTTCGGCCCAATATTAATCTTTTTGAGTCAAAAACATTTGAATTTAATTTTATTTTTATTAAAATAAAATCTAGAATTCAAATTAAACTGGTTTGGATTTATTGTTAATCCAAACAGGGCCCTTCCCGTTTTCAAACAGAATTAAACTGGTTTGGATTTACTGTTCATCCAAACAGGGCCCTTCCCGTTTTTTATCTGTTTGAATTATTAACCCAACAGATTCAAATCTGTTTAAATTTGAAACTAACAGGTTTCATACCTGTTCAATTCAAAACCAAGAGCCACCTTTACATCTATAAATAGACTAGCCTCCCATTTGGATTTCACTCCAATTTTCGTACTCCATTCTCTGTTTTAAATCTCTACATTTTGCTGCATCTTATTTCTGAAAGAAATAGTGTAAACACTTTGTGTGTTCGACGAACGATTAAATTGAAGTGCTGCTTTTATTCGTTGATAAGATCATTTTATCCTGGGAGATAGACGTCCAAATTCTGAAAGCACCGTGGAAAGGACGAATCTGTCTTAAGGACACAGTGTCAAACACTGGACTTGATCAGAGAATAATTTGAAAAAATTAAATCAAGTAAGTTATTTAATTTATTTTCAGTATTGTTTTATTTATTAAAATCAGATTTAAATTTTGTTTTTGTAACAAAATAAAATCTGTTATTTATTTATTTATTTATTATTTCGAGTTTGATTTTTGTAATCAAACAATTTCCCTTTTCCTTATTTCTTTAAATTCTAGTTGTTGTTTTGTACACAATAGAATTAAATTTTTTAAATACAGTGAAGTTTGTCCAACAACTCGAGCACCAAGACCTACCAAATGGAGACCCAACATGCTTTGAGACCGCCAGAGAACCCCAAAGAATGCCCATGAACGCGCATCCAAACTAAAGAACAAAACAACATCATAAACAAATCTAGAGATTAGATTGGAAGAGGATATGGTGGAAAACTATAGAGGGTTCAAGTTTATAAAGAAGAAAAAAAACACGCACACACAAGAAGTAGATAGGCCAGTTGACTGCCATGGTTGACGGCGACTGGCCGACCAATATGAGGCCTGGAGTAAAGGTTTTTAGAGAGAGAAAATTGTGAAAGAGAGAGAGAGTTTGAGGCTTGGGTAGCTCTTTGGGCATGAATTTGAAGAAAACTTGAGGCTTAAATGTCAGAACTCATATGAAACTTTAGAAAAATGATATTTTATTGAATTTTCATACAACATCTAATACCTGAATTTTCATTACAACATTATCTACACTTTTTTAGACTATGGGGTTGTGAAAATACCATCCTGAAGAGTAGATATCACCCTTGATTGGGTGTCATAGGTTTTTTTAACAGTTTATCTTTTTTAATTGCACTTCTTCACAAGGCACTGCGAAAATGTCAAGGAACAATTATTGATCATTCCAAAAATTGAATCAACATAGTAAAAATGTGCATAAGGTTACAATGGACAAAACTCGATAGTGCTTGAATAAAATAGTTTTGGATAAATTACACTGATATCTCTTGAGGTTTCTGTTTAATATAGATTACTCTTCACGTTTGAAAAATTACACTTATTCCCTGTCAGATTAAAATGACATATTTGCTTCTTAACCTTTATACATATGAAATAATAAAATAATACTGATATTTTATTCATGTCATTTCAAGGAAAATAACAATCATTTTCTTTAGTTTAACTCACAAAAAAATTGAGTTTTTTTTTTTCATGTTTTTTAATTTTTATTTAATTTTTTTAATATTTTAAACAATTTTTTTTTTTTATTTTGTAGATACACCTAATCTAGATATACTTAAAAAGTATAATATTTTGTAATTTTTTTTAAATTCACCAAATACAAAAAATATAAAACTACAAAAAATTAGTAATGCTGCAATAAATGTGAATGGCGGTGTTTGGTAATACTATAATAAATGTGGGTGAATAGATGTGAAAGAAAAATGATGGTGGAAATAAATATAAAAAATTCTATTCATATATAAAAATTTATACAAAAAATATCATAAAAATATTGTGATAGTGATGTTGTAAATATAAATCATGTTTATGATGTGTTTTGTTTTAAAGTAAAATGTCACTATTAAGCTATATTATTGTGTTTGAAAATTTTATATAAAATTTATATTTATATATCACTACTCAATAAGAATATAATCAGTTAAAATTTAATGATAAAAAGTTATAGAATATAGTCATAATGATAGGAAGAAAAAATAATGGAAAAAATGACAAAATGGTCATTTAGAAAATTTTAGGGCATGACATTAGCAATCCATAGGGTAATTTATAATGAGATTATAAACTTTTGAGAGGAAAATGTAATTTTTCAAACGTGAGAGAGAAATCTGTATTAAAAAAAAACTTTAGAGGGTGTCAGTCTATAGTGCATCTATATATTGAGCTTATTATTAAGTTGTTTTCATTTTTTTGTAAAAAAATTATACATTTTTTGACCATTTTATATAACACATCTTTATTGCAATACTCAATATTATTACACGATACTATATTTGAGTCAACTTGAGGTTCTACATAAACAATTGTCACAACAGTATAATAAATTTATTAAATTGAACTAATCACTAAATTAACACCAAACACATGTAAGGAATTTATATCGATAAATTTGAACAATTTTATACTTGTTTGATAATTAGTTAAATCATTGATTCATATATCTGAAACATTTTAGAATTTATTGGATCATTGTGACATCCACAGTAAAATCAAGATCCAAGAATTTCATATAACTTTGCCCTTATTTATTCTATTGAGATTTACTTAAAAAGATAAGATGCATGCAGAAATACGTATATTAAAATAATGATAATGCCTTCAGATTACAATCTAATTTTGAAAAGGCGAATAAAACAACAGAGAGGGAAAACGAAAACACCAAAACAACAACAACCAACAACATCAATAACATCACTTTTTAGTTTTAGTAGGATAAGAAGCCATTTTGTTGATACCACATATCCCCTCAGCTTTTCCTGTGTTTCTCTTCATCCTTATGTATCCTTTCTCTCCCCATTTTGGTCCCCATGAATTCTTCACTATTATGTAATCCAATCCCTTGGCCGATCCATATCCAACGGCTGTCACTCCATGGTCCAGCTCGGTTCCACAGTGCCCGTCAAACACACCCTGCAAAATCAAAATTCCATGTCTCTCCCATAAATGAAGCACCAAATTAATGTGGAATGCTTGACTATTTATGCATCTATGCATTAGCATACGCACAAGATAAAGGATGTATTGTGTCATCCGTGCACAGTAACTCACAACAGCAAAAACATTTTCCAATTGCAAAAGCTTGCGACAACAATGCTTTGGAAAAGTTTTTGCCAACCAGATTCCACATGTTGGCAAAAGTAAAGCCTTTGGTTACGTAATGTTTTGTTGCAAAGACCACCACTAAGCCACTAAATAGTTAATGGGGTTGGAAAAAATGGTTCCAAATAGGGCGATTCCGATGCATTTGCCAACACAATGTTTGTATCAGCAAAATTATCAAAATACTCAGATTTTTAACAATAGAATAAAAACTTTGTTGCCAAAAAAATTTCCAATCAAATTCACCAACAAATTCGATTTTTCATTGCCAAGAACTTGTTTTTGTCTATAGAAATTTCCTTCAGTTGGAAAATCTTGTCGCCAAAATTACAAATTGTCGTAGTGACTATATACATGAATGTGAGAGAGTTTGAGAAGGCTTACCCCACTGTAAAATTGGAAATCTCTGCCAGAAGCCTCAATGGCGACACTGAGAGGCTGATTTGCAAGTGCCTTCAAGAGGCTCCCTTCATTGTTCTCCGGCACATCATGGTACCCACTAATGGTCACCACCTCTGATTGTCCCTAATATATTGGATTTAATGGGGAAAAAAAATCATTAACAGTAAAATACAGAGTAGAGGACATAATAGGTTTTTTGCTTTTAACATAATACGGGATTATGGATGATAAAATGCACCATGTAATTAATCCTATACCAAAAAAGAAAAATAAGCCTATCCAAAACTAAGAGCACTTCATAAATCTTGTGATTGTGACCATTGTCATTATAACATTAGGGCTCGACACCTCTGTGGAAGTCCAAGCCCATTGACCCGTGCCATAGTCTATTAATTTGATTCGTTAATCTTGATAATTGTAATTATATGATTTTATAACCTAGTTCCTTTAAAAGATAGAGAAAAATATAATTCTAAAAATGGATTGTCAATTTTTTTATTTTTTTTTTTAAGACAGATGTGATTAAATTTGTTACTGGATTGAACCATTAAAATAAGGTTCGTGATAAAGTTGCATTCTAAAGATTATCATCATCAATAATTACTTTACCTTCTTCTTATCTTCACAAGTGCCTTCCTCCATGAGGTAAGGGTAGTCATCCTCCTTGCGAAGGCCACCATTAGCCATAATGAATTCAAAAGCGTAATCCATGAGACCACCGTTGCAGCCATGGTTTTGGGTAGTGTCGCAGTCAATAAGCTGTTGCTCTGAAAGAGATGTTAAATTTCCGGTGGTTATCTGGTTTATGCCCTCAACTGCAGCCACTGTTGAAAATGCCCAGCAACTCCCTGCATTTTCATTCATTCCACCGTTTATACATACAAATTGCACATCATATGTTGATTGTAATTCTAGCTGGATCAATTTCAGCTTTAAGTTTGTCAAATTGTGTTAATTAAAAATAATAATGCCGTTTTGGAAATTAGAATAAATATCCATGGGCAAAATAATTCATCCATTATATTGAAAATGATTGAGAAATGGTCTATTCTCTTTAGAATGGGGCTTTTGGAAATTGGCACTGTGAGAAATTAAAAGGTAAAATTAATATAATTGAAGCCATAGGGCCCAAATTAACACAATGAAAAATTAAGGGACTACATGTATAATTTGTCCTAATTTTACGTAACAATATCAAAAAATGTATCAGATATATATCATAAATCGGTTGTCAAAATCAAAAAAGAGTTTTATAACAGTTGAACTGGTCATATCTAGATATAAATCAGAAACGAGTCGACACTTCTGGCATCGACGAATATCCATGTAATTTTCATGACAAAAATATTTAAAAGCATGGACTCATGTACTTTAGTTATAAAATTCATTTATATATATATATATATATCATCTTTCGCTGGTATTTACTTACCACATGAACCTTGGTTCTTGACTGCAGTGACAGCTCCATTTTTTCTCCAGTCCACAGACACTTACCACATGAACCTTGGTTCTTGACTGCAGTGACAGCTCCATTTTTTCTCCAGTCCACAGACTTTGGCAAATCCACAACATCTCTGTAAGTGAATTCTTCAAAGGACCCTCTGTTTTTAGGCAACTCAACCTTGAGCCCAAGATACGTCTTTTTGAACTCTTCATGGCTCAAATCTGCAAACTCATTCAGTCCAAGCCAGTAGTTCACAATATTCTTGTTCCTCTCATCAATGTGCTTCAAATTATCCTTGAACAGCTCAAACCTATGCAACTTGTCTTCTAGACTTTTGTAAGCTTTGCCATGTTTGGCCATCCATGATTCAAAGAGATTAATTAGTCCATCTATGGATTTCAAGTCATCGGGCGAATAGCCTACGATGGAGAATTCACGAGCAAAAGCCAAAGAGGTGAAGAGTGAGAGGGAAAATGAGAAAAAGAGCAACTTAGAAGAAGATGGAAAGGCCATTACAATTAGGGTTGTCAACAACAAAGAGGAGGAAAGAAGGATCAAAGACAGTGAGATGAAGATGAGGTGGGTGATGGGTGTGGATTTATATAGGTTATTTTGGGAATATTGCTTTCAAGTAAAGTTGTTGAATTATTATAGTTTGTGTGATATACTGAGTCTTTAAGGTTGGTTCTTTTGCAGACTTTGAATCCAATCCAAGTATGTCCCTGTGAGGCTGTGATCTTGATAATCTAATATAGATGACGAAACATATAATGGTGTTGGACTATACACTTCGCCAATTTTTTATTTTTTTATTTATTTTTTGGATTCAATTTGTCTCCGGTCAGACTATCCAGTCCAAGCTGCGCAGTCTCATTTTGATAATATGGTACGATAATATTTTAAGTCTCTCTCTATAATTCATCTACACACAAAACAAAAACAAAAACAAAAACAAAAAATTGATTTGATTTAATAATTATAACTACATAATTTTATAATATCTTAAAAAAGCTACATTATGTGAACAAGCTAGATTAAGAAAACGATGAAAATGATCACAATACATCAATTAACTAGTCAATCTTGTATACTCTCTGCAGGAGTGACAAAGTTCATGTAATTTCTCACTGGGAATTTTATTATTTACGTATTCTAAAAGAAAAAAATGGATAGCAAATGTATCATTACTTTTAGTTGTTTAATTTAAAAAATAATTAAATCTAAGTCATTGAATATAGTCACATTGGATCGTAACAAATACAATTTAAATCATAATAGGATATATATATATATATATATAACCAATGAAATTGTGTTATTATTATTATGAGGCCCATTTGGATTGATGTTTTTTGACTAAAATAGTTAAAATGTCAAAATACCCAATCACACCACTCTCTCTATTCTACACGGTTTTTTTTTTTTTGGGTAAAAAATTTAAAAACAAATTAAAATAATAAATTCCCAAATAAGCCATTAGTTATATTTTCATATTATTATTGGGTTAATTGTGTCGTGTCGTGTCATGATAATAGGTTTAGTTTTAATCGTATGTATCGTGTCACCCATTGATTGACACAATTACTAATAGGATCATGTTAATAATTGCACATATAACACGTTCATTGAATAGGCCATGTTCCTACTAAAAAGCTTATCTTTCCATAAGTCCTGTGAGAAGTTTGTTGACACATTTACCCTCAATATTAGTTGTTAATATCATATATAATAGTAAAACCATATATAGAAAATTGAATGTTACCATAAATTATATTTATATAAACGTAACGTAACGTGACACCTACATAAACGTAACGTAACGTGACACCTATACGTAACGTGACACCTACATAAATGTAACGTGACACCTATGATCTATGGTAACATGCAATTTCCTATATAGAAAATTGCATGTTACCATAGATCATATCTACATAAACGTAATGTAATGTGACACCTACATAAACGTAACGTGACACCTATGATCTATGGCCACATTCAATTTCCTATACCATAGATTATATCTACATAAACGTAACGTAACGTGCACTGCTGGAAATCGGGCTTTTAGTGGCGTTTTAAAAACGCCGCGATATCTATCAAAAATGCCGTTAATTCATTTTGTGGCGTTTAGTACCAAACGTCGAAGCTGCGGCTGTCGCTGTAGCTTTGCGACGTTTTAAAAATGTCGTGATATTAGTATAGGAGGCGTTTTAAAAAACGCCGCAAAATGAATTAAGAATCACCTGTTGCCTGGGGCTCGTGGTAATGGTCCAACGATATCAAGCCCCCATTGAGCGAATGGCCAAGGACTAGTGATAGAGTTTAACTCCTCGGCAGGCAGATGAGTTAAGGGGGAAAACTTCTGGCACTGCTCACATTTCTTGACATAACACTCGTCATTAGTTCGCATGGTTGGCCAATAGTACCCCTGTGTTACGGCTCGATGAGCCACAGAACGTCTGCCCGAATAGGCACCACAACTGTCTTCATGTATTTCAGACAAAAGTTCCTCGACTTTATCTGGGTGAACACATTCTAAGTACGGCCTAAAGAGAGAATTTTTGTAGAGCTTCCCCTGCGGATCCAAGTAGCACTGCTGGAAATCGGGCTTTTAGTGGCATTTTAAAAATGCCGCTATATCTATCAAAAACGCCGTTAATTCATTTTGTGGCGTTTAGTACCAAACGTCGAAGCTGCGGCCGTCGCTGTAGCTTTGCGACGTTTTAAAAACGTCGTGATATGAGTATAGGAGGCGTTTTAAAAAACGCTGCAAAATGTCCCACTATACCCACGCTGACGTCACCAACGATATTTAGCGACGTTTTTGAAACGCCGCTGTATCTGTGTAAAAAAATGTTGAGGGTTTAGGAGGCGTTTGTAGAAACGCCGTCATATCTGTTTTTTTTTTTGGTGAGATTGTGCTAATTTTATTTGATTAAATTAAAAAGAATACCTGTAAGAAAATATTAAATTTGGTTTCTCATTCAATTAATAAAAAAATACCTGTAATAAAACTAACATACAAAATATTAACTCCCATTCAAATAACAAATAAAGCATTAATTCAGTTTCTCATTCAATTAATATCCAATCACCATTACCCACAAAATAACATATCCAAATCCAAAAATCATGTTTTAACATTGTCCATGTAGCTTTTGCCAGAAGGAAACATACTGGGAGTGATTCCTGCTCTATGAAACATACTGGGTTGTCTCCTGTCCTTGAGTGATTCCAGCTCTATGAAACATACTGTCCATGTAGCCTTTCCCTATTGCCTGTTTGATAAAAGTGTCAAGAGAATCATTCCCCTCTGATTTCATAGCATCTGGGGTGCCACTGGGCCTTAGTTTCACAACTGGCATCTATACCAGCCTCTGGGTTGGAAAATGGCACTGCAGGAAAAAGAAAAAACAATGCAAAGAATTTAAAAAAAAAAATAAGAATACAAACTAGAAACATGACTAACAGCTGGTAAGACCTCAACAAGCTGAAGCATTGGGGTACAAATAGTAACTCCATAGAGATTACTCCCGAAATAACTCCACATGCTCATTTCAATTTTCCAGAGGGGGAAAAAAACTATCAAGACATCCATTGTTCCATATCATTTTATTAATAGCATAAAAGAGATTCAGTTAACTTATGTCACAAGAATCTCAACCTCATGAAGGCTGGAAACGGAAAAGTCAACCTTCAAATTTGGCCCCATAAACATTAAAAGACAATGGGTGATGGAGAATAATTAACCCATTACAAAGTAAGATACAGTTACTCATTGGATAAGCCAGTGGGGCATTCATTAATATGAAGTAATGAAAAGCGCATAACAGAACAATAGCACAACGAATAAAACATCATGCAATGGATGATTTATTGATTGTATGGAAAACTAATACAACTACCAATCACAAGTAAGATACAGTTACTCACTGGATAAGCCAGTGGGGCATTAATTAATATGAAGTAATGAAAAGCGCATAACAGAACAATAGCACAACGGATAAAACATCATGCAATGCATGATTTATTGATTGTATGGAAAACTAAAACAACTACCAATCACAACTTGTTCCACGTCAAGCACAATATGCTGTCAGAATTTAATATGTAGCGACAACCACATTTATTATAATGCACTGTTTATCCAAAAGTAAAATTCAACGTAAGTTATTCAACGGAACCCTCACAAAAATAATTTTTAAAGTTTTCCAAAGGAAATCTTTGTTAGTGCCAAGAGACTTGTAGCTGGAGATTCTGTTCTTTTTATCTGGTATTTTGTTCTGTATTCATCATTTTCAATTTGTTGTCTGTGAATTGCTAATTGGCCATTTGTTTACATTATCTAAATTCTTTATTAACAGGAATGAAAAAAATCAGCTCCTATTGGGAATTCGCCACGCTATTCGACCACAAACTGTGATGCCATCATCTGTTTTATCTAGTGATAGCATGCACATTGGACTACTTGCAGCTGCAGCTCATGCTGCTGCTACTAATAGCTATTTCACTAATGCTGCTGCCTTACAAATCAAATGAACATAAACCACGAACTAGTGATATTAGTACGTTTACCTTGTTAGTTCTTCTTCTTCTTCTTCTTCTTCTTCTTTTTCTCTTTCTTTGAAAGGTGAACCTATATTTAATAAGAGCAAGTATTGTAATTAATAAGATATGTTATTTGTCAAAAAAGCTTTGATTAAATGATTGCTCACCTCTTGGGATGAAAATGCATGAGATTGTTGTTGATGTGACATTGGTCGAACAGTGGGATGACTACTAAGTGAATCCACAACCTATCATAGTTTTGATGAACATCCAATGAGCAAGACAATCATAGTTTCTTGAAAAATTCAAAACCCAACATAAACATAAACGAGCTACTAAAAAATAAAGCACAAAAAATAAATGAATTTTTTTCTGAGGGTAATTGAGACCAACTAAATTAATAATTCACAGACAAAATCACCCTATTATCATATTCAAGGGGGCAATCCATGGTTAATATCACAATAATTGATCATTACGGAAAAAAGATTCATCAAGCACTATATATATACACATATATTTCACAAACACAAAGATTATAGGAGAGTAAGATAAAGGAATTGAGATCAAATAAATTAGTAACAATTAACAAAATCAAATACCCTATGAAGAGACTGGCACACCTTTGCTGGCAAAACATTGACAAAGAGAGGATAAAAAAGAAAAGAGGACCAGAATGAAAGTGTTTTTTTATTGAACAAAATAAACCTATAATTTCTAACATCATAATGAAAAGTCTAATTTTAGTTCAAAAATCATAATGAAGAGTGAGGAAGGGCATTGTTACCTCACTTACTTATGACTTCAAACAAACAGGGCATTAATGAAAATGATAATGGGTACTCATTAAAGAATGAGCAACTGTTGTATTCAATGACCAAGTAATCAATTGTTAACATTAAAATTTGTATTAATATGATCAAACTTGGAATATTCACTCACCTCTGGGCACAATTTTATGGTGCGTTAGTGTTTCAAATAAACATAATAACAAATTACATAGATCTACCCCACAAAGAGCTTTTAAAAGCCAAG